GACAAATATTCGTTGAAAAACGTTAGAAATTTTTCTGGGTGGTACGCGATTGCACGTTTAACAACCTCCCCTTCCAGCAAGTCTAGCCCTAGAGCTTTTCCATTCTTAAGAGTTTGGACGACTTGCTTGAGTTCTTCTTTGTTGAATGGTTCTATATCATCTGTGCTGGGTAGGTCAAGAGCGTTTATCTTTATCCTGCTCTGTTCGTCTGTATCTATTTCTGGATAGTCATTGACAACGTGTACTTCCAGCAATCGCTTGGGTGTTTTTTGAAAGTTCAGGGTTCCATTACCCTCTTTAGTGCGAAGGGCATTCATACCTTTTTCGACTGGCATTTTATCGGCCGCAATTTTGTATACCACACCCTATTTTTCCTCGTTTCCGTGGGTTGTGACGAATTGTTTTCAGCTCTTTGTTTCCGCCTTTTTAATCGTTTGGGAGTACCTTCTTACCTGCTGGCGGTATCGAAGTCTTGCTGCTGTGATTCGGTGGGTATTGGTACCAAGCTTTTTAATGCGCTGGTATCTATGGCGCAGTCTGTAGACGTTACGCTTCAAACGGGACAAGTGGTTGTTCCACCAGGGATTTGCTTTCCTTGGTGCTTTTCGACGTGGCATGGATTTTTCACAGAGCTGTGTTAACCCATTTTCGAGAGTGTCAGTGAATCCATTAATGTTTATCGGAGAGTCCAACAATGGTCAAGCGAAAAGTGTGCTTTCCAGCTCGGGTATCAACTCACCGACGGCTTTCCAATCGGCTGCTTTGACATTGAACCGTCGGGTTGTCTCTGTGTAAGTTTCCCCCTGAACTCCGCTTTGACCAAGTTGGATTCCGATGGACATGTGATTTGACCCCTAAACCAACTCCCTTTTGACTAACCATTTTCTTAGGGACTGTGACAGTTCCTGAGTTGCTACGGTCATATCTATGTACGATTCTCCTCTTGAGAAGCTGTGTGTGGGACCTCTTTCGATTTTGTTGAGAACTTCCAGACCAAATTCGGTAAAAAAATTTGCAAGCTTTTCCTCTCTGGTGTCGAAGTTTGGTGACCACAGAGGATATCGGGCATTCGCATCCATACAAATAAGAATTTGCTTGCCTTTAAGAGTCATCAAGACCTTTCGTAGGTGTTCGGTGTGAACTTCGATTGGATTTTTGAACTGAAAATAATGTGAAATGTTGTCGATACAACCGGCTCTTCGATGAGATCCTTCCGCTCATGGAGGCCTAAGAAAAATCATATAAATCACTTCGTCCCGGCTGGGAATCAAACCCGCTACCCATGGCGCACCGGGCTGACGCTGTACTCGTTGAAATACGAGCATTTGTAAAATAGTCATTAAGTATATTAACAAACCAAAAACTGATATTATATTAATTTATTAACTTTTGAGTGGAAAGTTATAGTAATGGGGGATAAAGTTCTGATTAGGTGTCACCTCCGATTCAGGTCAAAATTGTTTTACGAGTTCACCTTAGCTAGTGATGAATTCTCCCCAAGGGATTTTTGGCGCAAATGCAACATAAATTTTTTTATGAGAGTTTAAAGATTATACCATATTTAGCTATTTATTCATTGGGATCACTTCCAATAGGAGTGAAATTTAAGAAATATGTTCAGTATTTTTTTTCGGACCACCCCGGATAGCATAGTTTAATTGTCTTTAATAATTCTACGAAAAGATCACGTTTTAATAACTTACATCGACGACGCAACAGAAATTCACACACGCCGTAGAAATTCGACATCTTTTAAACCATGTATTATCGGCTACTGTAATAGTATGCTTTCTTTTGCTTTTTGAACGACGAATACATCTCTCCCAGATCAGATCATTATCGTTACGTTCCATCATTTTCTTATGCTTACCCACTGCAAGGTAATGACTCTATCAGTACAGATAGTAGCTATTTTAAATAAATTGTAAAAATCATCCATTAGTATTAAAGTAATATTTTTCATGGAAAGTAGTTCATCAATCACACTTATATTGCTCTCTAAATCAATTAAACATATAAGAAAATCTTGAGGATTTGCAATCTATTGTCTGCTCTTAGAGACTTGACACGGTTAGGGATACTATAACACTGGTAAAAACCATTCTACAATTTTTATTCTGCCCATAAAAATGATATGGTGCATTTCCAAAAATTCCTTGGGGGTTCTTTATGTCTCATCAAGGTCAACAAATTCCCTAAGTTTCAGTCGATTCGAAGGTGACACCTAAACGGAACTCTACCCGAAAAATATAATAAAGTAACTATATTTTGCAATTTAGACAAAACTTTCACGCCGGATCTTTTAACAATATCTATCATGAATACAATGATTATAATGATAATAATATAAATTGGTTTTCAGAACAAAAAAATCTTTTCATCTTTTTCACTGAGAAGTTCCGGGTCATACATGGACCACTAAAAAGAGCACTGATTTTATTTTATATTTAGCGCCTCAGTTATCTGTATAATATTGTTACTATAGTACAGTAAAAAAATCAAGTTACTTTCATTTTTACTGGGCTATAGCGCCCTCACAACGCCCAGTTTTTATGACTTGTTAAAGTCATTATAATTTCTATAGTAGTACAGATTTTAAAGAAGTTAGAGACAAATGGCTATTTGATTATTTTTAATACAATTTATTGTATTAACACAAATCAGTGAAAGCTACGAAATTTGAATAGGTTATATTGTGAAAGTACTATTGTAGCTTTTTCATAAGTATTTGTTTATCGATATCGCAAAACAAATTGCATGAATCAATTCCTCTTGCTTTACAATAACAGTAATATCCATTAGCAGTAATAAAGATACAATTTACTGGTTATGTCCTACGTTGCTCCCAGAGTTAGCAAATGGCTGCCTTTGTAGCTGTCACTGATTTGTTCCATCGTCAATGGCTGGAAATCCAGGTTTACTAAGTACTTTCCCCAACAATTTCTTTCTGGCCACCAACGGTTTCTTCAACAGTAAGGATAAACCCGATACAATCGATTTTCTTCTCGAAAATTCACGAACATTCGCTTTAATATAATTTATTATGAGATTCACGAAACTCAGATATTTCTTTTGACAAGTCGGAAAAACACCGTGTGAAGCTTTCCTCAAAAAAAATATTCTCCATTGCTTTTTAATAAGGAGTAGGGCAAAGAGTTTAATTGCGTACTCATTAATAATTCGAATTTCGATCAGATATTTATCATTTCATTAAATAAGAATGGGTCAGTCGGTAATTATTGATATAACCTCTTATGAGAACCTCAAGGCAGTTTAGGCGTTTTCTTTAGCTGACTATTTCCTGAGTCATCTAATAGAATAGTGAGGGAATGTAATAAGAACAATCCCTACAATAAAACGTCCTGATACATATTAAATGAAGATTAGTCCATAGATGAAACGGAGGGACTGAAAAAAATTATGACACTATGCGAGATAGTTGTAGCACGTTGAATAGGAATAGCGAAATTTATACTGTAAAAAAAGAATTTTCTACGGAGTAGAAAAGCAAACATGAAGGCAATATCAAAAGTTATTTCAGTAATGTTATTGAATAAACCATTCTCATTCTGTATAACATGACAATTCCTATTCGATTCTTTTCTCCATGGAAAATTTGAATGATATTCTAAAAAGTAACCATAGAATTTAAGTAATTTTTACTAATTTATTTTTAGAGAGTAAATCTTTCTTTTGGTATTAATTAAAATTTTACCTTATACCCATTGCTATTTTCATTGGTAAACTAGCAGATTTCTGCGAATTCGTCCACGAATAAAATACAGTTCCAGGAATCTATTGTTATGTGATCGAGTGAATGAGAAAAAAATATATCCATAAGTATTGATAGGAAAAGCAAATAGTTTGAATTCTATGATAAAACCTAATTTCTGCTCCTTTACAACAAATTCAATTGTAATCAAAAGGAGTAGGTTCCTATACATTTTACATAGTTTGTGACTTCATTTTAGTAAAAGAAATAATTTCTCGCTAAAAGAGTTTAAATCGATTATATAAATCCTGTTTTTCATTGTTTATAACAAATTCAATTGTTGCGAATAGGGCCAGGAATTTCGCTGCGCTAAAAAAAAAGAAGATCATCAGATAATTTTTATTTTAATCAATAATAATTTAATAAAAATATTATCTTATCTGAAGATGAATAGGTTCAGACGATACAATGACAGTCCAGTACATAAAACGACAAAATTGGGTTATATAAACAAATAGAATTTTGATATATATAAATATATTTTTATTAAATTATTATTGATTAAAATAAAAATTATCTGATGATCTTCTTTTTTTTTAACGCAGCAAAATTCCTGGTCCTAGTTATGAACAATTCACATTAATAAGAAGTAGCCTTGAGCCTTTCCCACAATGTTCTTTACATTTTTGCGAAATTTAGTTACAATAGGGCTAGCCGTCTTGGAGATTACATTGAACAGTTAGACAGACACCAGAAATTTATATAGGAGTATAGATATAGATAGATAGATTTCTGGTGTCACAAAAAGTAGACCTGTACAAGTTGTGGAAGACTGCAACGTAGTGGGGAACGTTAGTGTGCCGACTGAAGGGAATAATCTATTTATACTACTATATAAATTTCTGGTGTCTGTCTGTTTGACTCTTCGTTCGCGCAATCTCTGATACGGCTAATCCGATATTAATAATTATTCAGTTCGTTGTGAACAATTGTAAATAGGGTCTATGCATCGTGTTCAAGTTTATTTAACGAAAAATCTTTTCCTCTACTGAATCGAAGTTGCTTATTGTGTAAAATGAATAGAAATCGACTCCTTTTGTTTGTTATAAAGAAACGAAAATTGAGTCTTATGATGAAATGCGAATTATTATCTTTTATTATCAATACTTACGCATATATCATTACGTTATTGATTCTATAACACAACAATAGGTTTTTGGAATTGGGTTATTGTAGTATATATATTATTATATGTTTGAGTAAAATTTTCAATTTGTTTATGTTATAGCTGCATCATATCGGGGACCAGGTGAAGATGAAGATAAAGATTCTTATGCAGCAAGGATTGCCTTTACAGGAAATTCCCGGATTTTAGGACCTATTTGTATTGTTGTTGGAGCTTTAATGTTAGGACTTGGTGTCTTACTATGCATGTTAACAAGAAGAGCACGACAAAAAGAGCGTCGAGTGGGCTTCCATTGTCCATTGCATGGAGATTTTTATCCTTTAGGACCTGTCCAGGGTATTAGAATGCTAGGTAAAAAATATTTCACTATTGCAGCATGTGACCACTAGTACATTTGGCATCATTATTACGTTTATGAGTATTTATACTTTCACTTTAATAGTTTTTTTTCAAAGTTAATCTTCGGTGAATCTATATTAAAAATGTGATAATATGAAGGCTATTGTTGGTTTCTCCATAAGCGTAATGCTAAAAGAAATGAATTTTGAAATCAAATGTTTCAAAAAGTAACACGTTAATCTCTTATTAAGGTAGTACTAGCACTTGGTCAAAGTCTGCAAATAAATTTAATGTTGGAATACGATGTTCTTAAGATGGTCACGAACAAGTTACAAGCAAAAAAAAAAAAAAATCAGCCATCGGGAATTTTGATAAAAAATTCGTATTCAAAAATACATTTTCATACATTGACATAAATGAGACAGATAGATATAGACCGTATTTTTTTCCATCATAGCTAAAACATAGCAAGTTTAGAACAGAATGAAGCTGTAAAGGAAAAAATCAGATTTTCGAATTAGTCGAAGTTGTCGGTAACACTGAGCTTGGCTTTGCCTTCGGAGCCTGACTTGAAGATAGTGGTTTGGACAAATATCATTTAATGCATTATCATTCGTTTTATAGAAATTTAATGGGAAAATCAATTCATACATAGTAAATCTACTGATGAGAAGAAAATTTGACTCTTCATTTTTGATTTTAAAGGTTGATCATACATCCTCAATAGGGCACAATTTTCATCGATTAAGAGTAATTTTGTAATGAATTCTAACAATATTTATATCCGAATTTCTTCGTAAGTCCTCGGTGAGGGAAATAATTATTCGTTCATTTTTTGATTACATTTTCATCTAAATTTAACGAAAATCGATTCTGCATTATCGTGGTCATAATTTTCTATCTGGGAATTTTTAAAATACATTTTTCTTCGTACAGAGGAAAGGGTACCGTTTGTTACATCGTTTTGTTTGTAAGAGATTACAAGGCATTTTTTTATTTTAAATTTTTCGCTCTCTGTAAGACGAATTTGGAGTTCTGCACCTATAAATTAATAAACCAGACATTAGAATTATTTTTTACTTATTTTCTAATAATTAATTTATGTTTTGTTTACAAAATGTTATTCTAGATTATTATTTGTGATGATTATTATAATACTTTTAAATTAATAGTATGAGAAAAATTTTTTCATACATAAATTCATATAACTAATTGTCGTGACTTGGAAGCATTCTCTTTGTTCAATATACAAAATTATGTATCTCTACTATGACGTATTAACAACGACCAAACTCGGTCTGATTGTTATGTGTATTGTACTATTTCTAGGTTGATACGTATGTATATACATTTGACCGCGTTGTAAAGGTCATACCAATAATGGTATTTTAGTGATGATTATAACCAGTTTTAAATTATGGTGAATGCATTAAACTCTTTGTATTAAAACAACATCAATTAAGGTTGTTTGAAAAAATATTTATTTCGACTTCCCTAGTTAGATAATTTAGCCTAATGTGTAAATTGTGTTTGTGGTCAAAGTAGTTCCTAACAATCAGACTAACAATAAACTTAATATTTTCATTTAGAAATAATAAAATGAAAAAACGATAATTCATTCAAGTATAATGATCAGAATCTAAGTTATTTAACTTTGAGACTGCTTGATAGCTAGTGTAATTACTATGCTATGAAAAATTTACAAATAATGATCTTATTAAGTGATTACTTACAAATGATAAATTAGTTAAAATCACCGTGAAATGATGAATATTCCTTTCTTAGCGATTAGCACTTATTATTTCATAGTGATTTTTATTATATTTGTGAGAAAATATGCTTTCTTTGATAAAATAATAAGAATATTATTTTAAAGATCAATACGTAATTATTAAATACTTTCGGAAATATAAAATAAAAAATGGACTAAATTTTTTGATCTTGGTCTTTTTATTTATTGCTACTACAATAATATCCGAATAATTACTAGTACACTTAGAGTTAAAATTATAAGAATATCTTCATTACGCGTTCTAGAAAACAGCAGTTATAAACGTAGTATCCATTCAACATAATTAAAAATAACTTGAGCTTTTCTAGTTAATATTATTTATGACTGATATAAAAGGACATGATGTTTCTCTAACGTAATTTAAAAAATTGATTTTAGATGATAAAGAAGTCAACCGGTGGTCTAAAATCCCTTGCTTCAAAAGACGTTCTAGAGAGAAAAGTATGAATGGCTTCAGCGGATCACACATAGGACCACCTCTATGTCCGCATTCTGTACTCAGCAGTACCAGAAGCTCAGTCAGCAGCTCACCACTAAGTCCGTGTCCAACACCAATGCCATTTCTTGTTACATCTGGCTCAGTAAGGTAAATTTTCTTTCAAGTACATAATATAAGTAGTAGTAACGATTCAATGAGTGTACCGTTGTTATTTTAGGAAAAAGTGGTTGAATTATCTATAATATTAAATTAAAACGTTATACATTGTCTTACATAGGTTAAAAATATCAAATAACCTCGTATTTATTCCGACAGGTTCTATCTATATCATGCGTTCGATCGTTGGACAATGGCCTCAGAGTCTTTGTTCTATTCTTTCAACGAAAACAAAAGAAATTTCCATGCATAGTTGAAAATTTTTCGATAATAATTTTTGTTTTCTATTATTTTAATTTGTATTTTTACATAAACTAATGAATAATAATAAGACTTTATTCATATGAATGGGATGGTTGAAGAAAAAAATTCAAAATTCTCCCTTAATAACGTACATTTATTAAAAAGAGCCCAAAGGGTATATTATTCTTTATAATTATTTACATCCATTCTATATATATTTGGATTATTTTTTATCAATAAAGTTGAATTAATATTTATTTATAGTCATTCATTCCATTAACTCTACATCTCTAATATAAGACTCTATCAAGTAGGGTGAATGTAAAAGTTGTGATTGTAACTTAATAAATTTATTAACCACTAAATATTAATAATACTATACCTTCTGGTATAATTGTTATTTACCTTCGTAATTTTAAAATTTAATCAAAAAAAGGTGAATGATTTTTCATCTTTTATATACACGGAGAAAAATAATCAGAGCTATATTACTTGACTAATCAAGTAAACTTATTCTAGAAAACGTCACTAAAATTCTAATTAATTTTTATTCACAGTGTGAAACAGTTGCTTATACTATCTGATTTTGATTCTTTCTAATAGTTTCAGATAGCCAAGCGGGCTAAAGCACCGGTTTAGTTAGTTGCGTGCGTTATGAGCGATCGTCGGTTCGAATCTCCCCAATAGAATATTTTTTAGTAGCTTAAAATCTGCGTTTTCTGCAATCTTTAAACTGTGATACGTAAAATTGGTGTTCAGCATATACGTATAGCGTCCATCAAAATTAATTTTTTAATTATTTCTATTAATTGGTTTTTTGCATTTTCGGCGTAAACCGCCACGATTTTTACGATGTAGAATTTAAAGAGTATAATATTTCTTAAACATTATAGTATATGATACGTTACATGAATGAAATCTATTGTTGATAATTTTACCAAATAATTAATTCTTTTAATACGTTATTGAAGAATTTGAATGTAAATTTTACTAGAATTTATCGTAAACCTCGAGTATCTATTGATGAGATATTTCTAGTAAATTTTGCTTGACTCGACGATCATCCATATAAGTGAAAGAGTTTCTAGTAAAGTTTTCTAGAATTCTAGAAATATGGTCATGACTATTTTCTCCGTATATATATATATAAATATATATATATATATATATTTCAGTATAAATTTTCTTCCTTTGTCAACAAATGTTTAAATACTTTATTTATTAAAAGTATTATCATAGGATATAATAAAATTGACAGATAACTAGTATCATTTATAAATAATTGTGATACAAAATTTTTTAATCTCAAAATTAATTCGTATTTTAGTGCGAGAAAACTTTATGAACTCAATGATTATACAGAAAATAGTCATACAAAAGATAACTCTTAAGTTATTAAAACAGATGAAATTTTATAACTCAAAAAAGTTACTAAAATATTAATTGTATAGCTGATGTCATACTTAAATATTATAATATAAATATATAAACTAATTATCTTACATCGAGATTTATAGTCTAATGGTAATTGAAACTATAGTCCTGTCTCAACACTTTGTTATTTACATGACAAAAATCATTTTCCGCGAGTTCCTTATACCCTTTTAACTGCTACATTTTATCAGTATTAGAAGCTGAAACGATTCTATCTACGAATTTTTCACGTATTTATTGATCAGATGTTTTTTGAAAGATGAGCTCCTTTTCAACATATGACATACTTTAAATGAATTATAACAGCAAAGTTTTTTAACTGACAATTCAATAAATTTTTATCTATTATTATTCTTAAAAAAGAAATAAATACTTCTATGAGACTTGCTTATCACAATAAAACTTGAATAATCTAGTAAATCATTTTTTTACATCTGTATCGAAGTAAAAAAGAAATTATTTCTATAAATAATTTAAAATGAAAGCTCATTTAGATAGAAAAATGATTTCGAACTCTTTTTCATTTATATCTAACAGTGAGTGAAATAAAAAACTGTAACGTTAAAATAGAAACTAATTTGGATAAAAATTTTTTGAGTATTTATGAGTAAAGTAATTATTAAAACTTTAACATTTGTTAAATTCAATAAATATTGTTATTGCAGTAGTGGAATGGTGCAGAGCGTTGGAGCAAATCTATCCCCAGACCAGACATTTGGATCGATTCGATCTCTTTCAGTAACTCGAGAGGTTGCAAGTTTTCCTCTGTCAAGAACACCAACGCCGCCACCTCCGCATAGGTCTGTATTGATTCTGTCCTGTGATGAAATTGAAAACAAGACTCTTCACTCGAGGCGAACATGCATGAACTGAAAATTATGTAGTAATGATTATAGTTGCATCATATTTATTTTATTTTATAGACTTACATCTTTTAATTACGTGAATTTATTATGAAGACAAAAAAAATTTCCATCATGTATCAAATTGTTCAAATAATAGTAATAGTATAAAAAAAAATATCTTTATTATGAAGCTGCAAATATTATCACTACTTGAAGCTACCGTATGGTAAATAGAATAATTAATACAGTTGATATTTATATTCTAGATCATCACCAATTAATACTTCAGAGGACTTTGTTAGAATAAATAGTTCTCATCAAGAATCATCAACCAGACCAGAAGTGCGAGTCATAGCACCATCACATCGACTTACATTTTCTCCAACATTGAATGCCACTAATTCTCATCAAAATCCGATAGGAAGAAAATCTGTAAGCATTTTATTACCAGAACACTCAAATGGATGATACCAACATAGTTTCGTCCATCGCTGTGATAAAGGGCCATTCCGGAAGGAAACTTAAAAATCACTCGTCTCTTATTTTTATGGTACGATGCCCGAACAATTTATAATTTAAACTTCATCATGTATTGATTTGAAAAGTTAAAGATTTTCAAACCTTTTTATTATTGAATAATGTGAAATATAAAAATATTTTACATAAAATTTAATAATTGAAAATTTACTATTAAGGTATTCTTTTTTTTTACTGTGGTTGAAATAAATAAAAGACCTACTAATAAGTATTTATATAGTAAAAAATTAAGAGATTAAAGGTATTATAAATTAACAGTTAATCCTACTCTCCATTTTTTGAGTCACTGATATCATCTAATAACTAAGATTTAATCTATGAAAAACATGTTCAAAATAACAAATGGAATTACTGTTTGTTATCTTTTATAATTTTTATTGATAAGATATGAACATATTCAAAAACAAAAAATCGTTTAATATAACTATATCATGAAAATTTTTGAAATAATTTTAATAACTCAGAAAATGTGCATGAATAACAATGAAAATCTCTTAAATAATTTTAATTTTTTTATTTTTATTTCAAAAATAGATCAAGTCATTCCAATTTCATATAACATCAGAGTATCGTCTATAAGATACTTTATTTACGGATTATATTGTATGAAGTTGACAATATTATATACCTAATCTGTCCTGCTGAGAAAGTATGCTTGATCTCTTATCGTTATTTTTTTTAAATGTATAAATGAAAATAAAGTCTGTTAAATTGTATGATTAATTGACAGTTATGATGGATGAAAAGTTTTCATTTATTAATATTGAATGTGAGTGATATTAGTATATATTAATATGAGCTGGATAAAAGACTATAAATTGAAAATGTAAAATGAATGATATTCTGTTGACAATTTTACTCATTTAAAATATGTAATGTCAAATACTATTTTGTTTTTTAATGTTATTAATGTGTTAGTTATATGTATAAGTTGTAATATGTTATGAGAAAAAGAGAAATTGACTGTAGAAATAAACGGTCAAAACAGTGTTGATTGATAGGGCAGATAAAGTAACAATTAATGAAAATCTAGTCTTATATAATTAGATAGACAAAGGCGATAAATAAAATATGTGATTTTAAATACTGATAGAGTTATATAATATAAATATGGATTGAATTGAAACAAGATTAAATCAAAATTGTATTTGCTAGACACATCGAATATTGAATTTTACGAGTCATTATTAGATAGATTATTATTGTTTTTTATATTTAATAATAAAAACAGACGAAATATTTGACAAAAAACTTTGATACCTAGAAAAAATTATATGTTGATGTTTTTATAGCAAAACTCGAAAGAACTAAAATGAAATAATTAGATAAATTTTTGAAAAAAAGCAGTAAGAAGAAGTAAAGTAGAATTTTAAAAATCATGGCACTGTTGAGAACAGCAGAAGTCCTGTAAATTTAAAGTTATTGAGTCTAAAAATTGTAAGAATTAACGGTTTATTTAATTAAATAAGAAGTGAAAAAATTTTTTTCAATTTTTTATCATTAAAAAACGTCTATGTTTTTGAAAGTGAGCCGTAAGGCAACCGAAGACTTTTGAAATAGGAGAAGTTTTCAAATTTATACGAGTTCTACCGTTAATTTTATATGATGACATTTGTTTAGATATCGATAGATAGTATAACAGTTTTTGTGCACAAACTTGTTAGTTGTAATACTTGTATTGGAAAATTTCTCACAAAATTTATTGAATATATTAATATATTGATGAGTTAGGTAGTCTAATGATAATGAACATAACACGGGAATAATTGTGTGCCAAAATATGCTGAAATTGATAAATATTTCTTCATAAATAATATTACGAATAATGATCGTACAGAAAAGAAAATTAAGCCTAAAATAATATCAAAAAATATACAGTATATCTTGAGTGGAATTTTTTTTATGTAAATACGGCAACTTTAACAGGTTTGCCTAATTTAAATGTGTGGTTCCAAAAAAAAAACACCGCATGAGACATACACTAAATATATAACAGTCGTTTCAATAAAGCCTGAATGAGTGACGTTTTTATAGGCAATTGAAGTTATGTTAAAGATAAATAAATTAAGTTTTTTTTAGCTATCTCTAGAAATAGCTTGACTGGCTCAACATAAAGTATTCCCAGTCGAAGTGTAATTCTATCATTTTTATATACCTGATGGGAATTCCTACCATTAAGTATCAGTCGGAAATATCCTATTTACCTTGCCTCATACCTACTCGTAAAAAAGTCCAGTGAGAATATTTAGGCATGATAAAACTAAACTCTACTCGAGAATAGTTACGTTAAAATTTCTTTTGTCATTTTTGTGAGTTTACTGAATGATAAACTCTTATATTATCGTTGCTTTAATTTTATGGTAAAGTAATAATTATAATAAATAGAACTCATATGCTTTTCTGTTTGAATAATGACAAAGAATGTTTATATATTTCGTTGTAGTAAAAATATTGAATAGTGTAAAATTAATGAGATATTTTAGTGATTACTTGTTAATGAGTATGTGATAGAAAATTTACTGAGGGGTATTTACCAATTTCTACATTCTTTTATTTATAAGTGATTATTCTTTGGATTGTAATGTGTAAAAACAAACTTCCTTAAATTAAAAACTAAGTTACTATGATATTAATATCGAGGACAGTTGCTTATGAATTTAGCTTTAAATTGTTCTTTTCATAGTTAGTGATCAAAAAAGAGGCTGATTAATCATAGGAAATATAATCAATTCAAGTATTCGACAACAAAAAGCAATTAATATATAGTTAGTAGTTAAATAAACTAAATGAAATTCTTTGAATATAGCATTAAATGAATTTAAGTCTCAATGGATTTAAAAGAAAATTTTCATTTCATGTATTAAATTTATGAAATTATTAGAAACTGAAAAGCTAAATTATTGCTAAGCATTAAGATAATAACGGACTTAACCAATTTGTTTTTAAGCTTTGACTTAAAGAAATTATTGCGAAAATACTCCAACTATAAATCCAGTAAATACAGCCACTATACTATAGAGCTATTAACGATAACGCAAAGAATTTGCTGAAAAACAATAATCTATATTTAATACCCTAATAGAATGTCCGGTAACAATATATATTTCTATCATTACTACAAAAATAATATGTAGCTAATGAATTTTTCAATAAATCTGTATTGTATTACTTTATAAATATTTTCCATCATAAAAATCTTGAATGCATTTATTCTTTTACTCACAAAAATTTACATTTGTTCATCATTTTGGGTTAAAAATAATTTGATGCAAAGTGAGAATAAAATGTATATAATTTGAGGATCAAATCATGTGCTATCTTATATACAATGAATATAAACTAAAAATAATATCGATACATGAAGAAAAAATATTTTATCAAACTTAATGGATCTAAAAGGTATTCATTTTAAAGAAAAAATCAGGATAACATTGAAAAATTGAAAATGCCGAGTACATATTCCGTAAATTATAAATATGAATATATATTTCTTTGTAATTTGTCATATTCAATAAAGCAATGTGTTTTGCATTCATAATTTTAGATACGTTTTTCTAAGTTTTTTTTATGGTGTAGTTGGCTTAGTTATTATCATGTTATTATTAAATCAGTATGATAAAAGGATTATTATTAGATAAAAATATTAAGTTCTCTTTTAAGACTGATAAAGAAGGTATCCCAATGTGTCACCTCCGATTATTTTGTAGCTGATATATGTTATTCTACATCAAATTTGAAGAGACGCATATTTTTTTTGTTAATACCCTCTTTTGGGGGGTAAAAGAGTCCCCTAAACGTAACCACCTTCTCGAGCATTTGTAGGGTTTTACGTACACAATTAACAGTTGTAATTAATCAATATTTACAATGTTTGAAAATAATCCAAATTCGATTTAAAAAAATAGGTCTGAGCACATTTTGTCTGTGCTAACACGATGAACTTCCCATTAGTAATTGTTTATAACAAATTCGTATTGTTATAAACAATGTGTAATTGTTGAAAGTCATACATGGTTGTGAACAATAATGTCTAGTCAGTATCGACTCAATTTTCAAATGAAATTGTTATGGTTTGACTTGAAAGTATTTTAAATAACTAATCTTTTCATTTTTTTATGAGTTATTTCGTTATAAAAAAAAAGGCCCGATCAAATTTGTTCAAATTTCATTAAGATATTCTTTATGATAATATCTTTCGAATTAATTTTGGTTGAAGTCGATATTTTAATCCGTTCTTGAGATATCCAAAACGAAAAAAATGCTGACGTCCATACATACATACGTACGTACACACATACATCATTCTCAAAATTGGTCAGTATGCTTGCAAATACCATGAAACGTGGAGATATAATGAAAATTCAAATTTCACCAATAGACCCAATTTCAATAACTTCCTAATGGGAAGTTAAAAATCCTTGAAACGATCAATTGCAATCGAAAGAGTGGAAAAAAATAAAAGACACGTGTTTTTGCATTCTAGAAAACATACATATAGTCAATGTACAAACTGTCTAAAAATGAGTGAGAATCATTTTTTTCTTTTAATATTTAAACCCCTGAAACCTTCAAATGGTTTATTGCAGCATGATTAGTAAATATTGTATTGATACATTAAGTATAAGTAGATGATGGTGCAAATAGACATTAGAAAGAAAAAGATACTTAGATGGAGCATGAAAGCAACATTGAAAAAATATCAATCATTATGTAAAAAGAAATGAAAAACAAGAACCAACAATGCAGCGATAGTTTCTTCAATGCATATATGTACCTATATGTCCATGTGTGTATATATGTAATCTCTTAAAAGATTGCTCAGATGGTGGGGCCATACTTTTGAAAAAATTTGAAAATGTCAGGCTTAGCTATGAACATTCCTATACAAAGAGGGAGTTGGTGGCGACTCAGTTTGAGCTTCCGAATAAGAGAGGTACGCTGGGAATTGTTAGAGAACACTTCCAGATGATACGATTTAGCTCCTGGTTGGCTTGGTTGCACTTGCATAGCAGACTGGATATTATTCTTACTCGGTGAAGTAATACAGTTAGATGGTACACTCAGAGAAATTTCTGGTTCTCCTAACTACTTTGAAGAAGTTAAAAAAACATATCTGAGAATATGTATGCCAATTTTCGCACGTTCGTAAATGACCGGAAGTCTAGATATGTAAAGAACATGTATGTACAATTTCAGCTTGATTGAGGTAATTATGCGGGAGATATATATTTTTTTCCTTTCACATAATTATTTTTTTGCGCTAAAAAAACGGAAAAAGTACC